GAGGGAACCTAGATCCAGAGGGCATGGAGGAAGGTAGAATCTCCACTGAGTAGTGTCTAATCTGTCTAGGTGGGGCTGATGAAATGAAATGCAGATAGGACTCTTGTGATACAATAGTAAATAATTGTTATCAGGACTGACTGTGAGGGTTGGAAATGTAAAGGTAGACATTTTATAGCAAGGAGTGATTAACTTTTCAGTCTAGGAGTGGAGGTCCCTGGGACCATCAATGGAGAAGAGCGGAGATAAGGACCCTACCCAGAGAAGCAGTGATGCCTGAGATGGAGGCAGAGACAATAACGTGGAGAAATGGAGCAGCTGGGGACGTCAGATCCAGAGAGGGAGAAGTGCTGTGTGCTGACAACCAGGAAGCAGGCTTGATTGGTTGATGATGCATGGAGGGGATTGTAACCATGGCAATGAAATGATATACGATAGAATGAATGTAAAACTAATGTTCTCCCCTGTAAACTATCACATAATTCACAATAAAACACTAAAAAAAAAAAGAGCCAATGATACCGAAGGAAGAAGTCCAAGGTGCATTGAAGGCAGTGACAAAGAACAAGGCAACAGTAATTGATGGAATACAAATTGAAATCTTTCAACAAACTGAGGCAGAACTGGAGGCACTCACTCATCTATGTCAATAAATTTGGAAGACAACTACCTGGCCAACTTATGGGAAGAGATCCATATTTGTATCCATTCCAAAGAGAGGTGACCCAACAGGATGCAGAAACCATTGGACAATATCATTAATATCTCATGCAAGCAAATTTTTACTAAAGATAATTTTACAAATGGCTGCAACCATACATTGACAGAGAACTTCCAGAGGCTCATGCTGGATTCAGAAGAGAACATGGAAAGAGAGATATAATTGCTGGCATCCGATGGGTCTTAGTTGAAAGCAGAGAATACCAGAAAGATGTTTACATGTGTTTTCAGTATGCAAAGGCTTTTGATTGTGTGGATCATGATAATCTATGAACAACATTGCAGAGAATGAGTATTCCAGAACATCTAATTGTGCTCTTGAGGAAACTTGGTCTTTACATATACCACCATGATCACTCTGTACCTAGACCAAGGTAGTTGTTCGAACAGAACAAGGGAGCACCAAATCATTTAAAATTAGGAAAGGTGTATGCCATTCTTATTCAATCTGTATGCTGAGCACATAATCTGAGAAGCTGGATTATACAAAGAAAAATGTGGCCTCATGATTGGAGGAAGACTCATTTAACAACCTGCAATATGTAGATGATACCACCTTGCTTGCTAAAAGCCAAGAGGACTTAAAATCTTATTGATGAAGATTAAAGACCACAGCATTTGGTATAGGTTGCACCTTAATTAAAAGAAAACAAAAATCCTTACCACTGGACCAATTAATAACATCCATATAAACGGAGAAAAAACTGAAGTTGTCAAAGACTTCATTTTGCTTGGATCAGTCATCAACACTCATGGAGGAAGCAGTCAAGAAATCAAACGATGTATTGCATTAGGCAAATCTGCTTTAAAGGCTTTTTTAAAGTGTTGAAGAGCAAAGACGTCAGTTTCAGGACTGAGGTGTGCCTTACCCAAGCCATGGTATTTTCAATAACCTCAATGCATGCAAAAGTTGGACAGTGAATA